CATATGCAGCCAGGTGACCACACCGGCCCGCCTCGGACATAAAGCAACGAGGATAACCGCTGAATAGGACAGCCACGCGCGTCCCCAGATGCGTATCCGAGAGAAATCCCCCCCCCCCCCCCCCCCCCATGACGCAAGAATTGTCCATAAGGATTTAGCCGTGATCAAATTCAAATTGTTGTCCTTCTATGGACTATAGGGGCTCTGAAATCCCAGAGTATTTTGTTGACCGAGAAAATAGTCCAGTTGTCGTAAATTAAGTTCACTGCGCAACGGCGGTCAAGCACTGATGAAGTCCTTACAAGGCACAATTTGTTTGTGTGCCTCTGAGATCTCTACCGATTTCTTAGCCCGATGTTTGAATCCCAAAAAAAGTCTGGCTTCTAGTTCTACGATGTTGCGGAAAATGTAGTCCAGGACCTAGATCGAATCAAAAACCATTGTGCATTGCGAGCCACCTCTGAGCACAGAGAAAACAAGCGCCCTCAGGTGACACTTTGTGTAAATATTAGTGGCGGGCAATTCAAGACGAAAGTCCTCTGTGAACGAAATGCAAAGAAAAGGGATATTAATAGGAATTCATTTATTTGACCGCTTGTTGCAGGTGGTCATGATCTTGTAACATACCCAATAATGTGGAGTGATGTTGTAGCGCAAAAAGAGTGCTGTGTGTGAAAAGAGCCGTCGGTGGCGCAATGGTTAGCATACGCTCCCGGAAAGGTAGTGATATCTGGGTTCGAATTCTAGCTGACGCAAACGTTTTTTGCACAAGCACTTCAAATTATTGGGTAAATTAAAGGAGATTAATTACTGGCAAGTGCAGGTAATTTCAGGCCGGTGAAAATGCATGTCAAAGAAGTCTGAAACAAAATGGACAGTGCGTGAAAGATCTATGAAAATTTGTGAAAATGTGTTCAGAATATAATTATGGAGAGTGATTGAGTAGTGTGTTATCTCTTTTTTTCTAAAGACAAGAATCTCCCCAATAATCTTTTTCTGGGAGTGAACGAAATAATGCCGTCAAGCACACTGGTGGAGTTGAAAACAAGATATTTGCCCTGTGTAAAGCTGGGACATAACCTACACTATGAGTGGCAACAAAACTATGTATCTGTAAACTTCAAATGTGGTAAAATATATCGTGCGAAAGCTGTTGAACTAAGCTTATGAAGAACAAGAAAAAGATGGTGAGCATGAATACGATGATGATCATGGTGAAATCACGGTGAAAAGGAAAAGAGTTTTAAACGAGCTGACGATTAAAATGATTAACAGAAACTGATGAATGACGTAGCCATTATCTTCTTTCTAAAAGAAAATGAAAGGAAACCTAGAATTTCAGGGGACTAGAAATTCAATTGCTTAACAGATTATCAGCAGGATAAAATAACCAAAATCTGAAGGCAATCGAATAAAACCTAAATCCACACTGAAATTGAGTTGAATTTTTCTTTGATGTGTGACACAGTAACACAACCTCGATCTTCATTTGAAAAATTGGACGCTCTGTGTAAAGTTCAATGTGTTCTTCATCAATTTTTTAAGCTTACGCGTAACCTAAGCCTAAGCGTGCCCTCGTAAGTTGTTATTCAAAGAATCAATTTTGAAAAAATTTCAGAAACTGGTGGAATCACAACCCTCTACAAGGGAAAAAAATTGTTATTCTTTTCTAAAGCGTTGGTCACTCGTAATTGTGTAAGCCTCAGCTGACATGTGAGCTTAAAAACATTCAAATTCGAAAACGATATGATCTAACGTTGTAAAACTACCATCACAAGCAGAACATCACATCGTCAACCAGAAGGAATGTGAGAATGAGATATGCCGCAGGCGATGACATTGGACAGACAGAGAAGCAGAATCGCTATGCTAGTGCAGTGTGACAAACGAGACGATGGTCGAACAGCATTGATTCATTGCTGATAGCGACTAAGAGAGCCCTCGTTTCAGCAGAAACACAACCGGAGGACGAAAATGATGGACCTAAACGGCAAAAAATACCGAACAAGAACGTCAAGAGGTGCGGGAGAAAGTGAACTAGACGTGGTAAGAGGCAATCACTGATGGCAAGGGCATAACTTTACTAGATGCATAGAAGAATGTTACCTTCCGTTCTAAACGAATCTCACTGGAGGTCTTGCTCTAAGATCATTAAAAACGACGATAAAGAGAGAAAAGCAACTGATGAGAGGTTGGCGCTCCAGCAATGTGAAGCGTAGATAGAAAACAAATACTTTGCCGAGATATAATTCATGGAGCAACCTGAATTATAGTGACGTAACTACTAATTGCAATATTTACGAACTACTAGGCAAATTAATTAAACAACCACCTTTAAATCTATCGATCCCAAAGAAGAAATGTTGACAGTCCGACTTCCTTAAACTGGACTTACTAGTCATTCAAATCGTCCTTTTTTGAAAAGTTCGAGAAGCCGGCTCAACAATAGAGGAAGGTGTGACTTGGTTAGTTTGTTCAAAGTTGAACGAAAGTTGGTTATCTTGTACATTTTTGGACCACTTTTATTAAGCCGTTTTCAGGGTGATTTTGTTCACTGGGCGCGATCACCACTACTTCCAGCATTCAGCTGGTCTTTTTTGTCTTCTTCTTTACAACATAGACTAATACGTTTGAGCGAGTCTTCTTGCAATCTCGGAGGGATAACCTGGCTGTGGCGTTCCATAGGGTGTTGTTGGACTGCCGGAGAGTGGCCTGAGAGGTGGACTCGAGCTCCACCATGTGCCGCGACGACCATCAGAAACCACTCGGCAACGCGGCTCCTCCCAAGTCTATTATCAATTTATCATAAAGTTCCATTTTGAGCTGAATGACTGCGCTAACTTCTGCAGAATGCATTATCCGATAAAAACTAATACTGTCATTGGAAAATCACTATCAGCAGCAACCATCCTTTATATTGAGAAAAAAAAACTGTCAGGTGAGGTGTTCATTTGAACGCGTACTTATTTGAAGAGGATTTGACTCGAATCAAAACACAACGGCCACAACGAGGACCGAACTACTGTGGATCGGGCTCTTTGAACAAATCGGCTCTGAAAAAAGGAAAAAACGCGACGAAACTTTAGCCGAGTAAATTCGCCATCTAAAACTTCGGAAAATTGGCTCAATCGACAAAGAAGATATAGAAATATGGAGAACGTAAGTGACTATAACGACTAATGGACTCTCAAAAGATCAGCTGACAGACGATAGTGGATTCTTCGACGTCAGCGAATATAATGTGAGTGCAGAATTATACTCCTACTGCTAGAACATCCGCAAGAGGCATTCCTATAGTGTAACAATGTAGAAACGCCAGCACAAGTCTCACAAGAACTCCAACTTTATGCAGATCCCACTGTTTAGAGAGACAAGTTGAAAAGAGCCAGTTTAGAAGACTATATAGTCTCTTTGAAGTACGTGACTGATTTCAACTATAGTGAAAACACTCTCAAATACGCCGCTGTAGACTGCACATTGAACAATCTCAGAAAAAAAAGCTAAGATGAGCTCCTTAATGTTCTTGTTTGCCTTATTAAAGCAGCCGACTAAAAATCTCTTTCAAATTAGCTGAGCAAATTTAGAAAAAATGGAATGTTTTGAATGTGACGCAATAATATAATGCTATGAGAACATTTTAACTGGATGTTCATCATCCATGAGATCGGCAACTTGAGAGTAGGCTTGCCTGGAGTGAGCGCACACTGTTTTTGATACTGATAGACTCGAACAGGTTCATTGTATACGCTGGGCATGAGCTTTCAGTCAAACTCTAAATCTGTTTAATGTGGTGGAATGCGTAGCGCATTTTATATAAAAATTGGTCAACGAGGAACAATTTACCTGTTATACTATGATTTCCCATTCGGAGGTAAGAAATTTTGGGTGTTCGGATCGGTTGTCAAGATGCAAGGTAGAGAAATAATTCATATTTTTTTAAGCATACCCTTCGTCTCCTCACCCAAATCTCGTGTTAGGATAGTTTCAGTTTTTGATCAAATGAAGCTTGTCCTTATGTAGCAAAAAATTTTGTAAAATAGACAGGTATCAATTAAATTTTGCAAATTTGACGATGAAAAGCACCTGGATGAGATTAGAACATAGTATTGGAGGTGTGCACGGAAAGTGATGACGTCAGAAGCACAGTGACTTCATTTGGACCAGAATCAGGATTAGTTTTAACAGTGTGTGAGAAATCATTGAGGAATCCTTCCAATCGGCTGTTTTTCAACGTCGCTATAACCATGGTGCGTTAGTGGCTTACGTAAGGTTTCGAAGTTAATCGCTCGTTTTAATCACACTCACCACGCTCCACACTGAACGTACCGACCTCGAAAAGGCTTCAAATATTCTCATAAACTACGCTTGAATGTTTGTAGCGAGGTTAAAAACAGCCAGCTGGAAGGATCTCTACATATTCGCCACCAGCCGTAATCCATCGACTAAAGAAAATAGTAACAACATCTATCACCATAACGCCTCTTTATCTCTGCTATAAACTGAGGTTCAGTGTGGGGAGTGCGGCCGTGGCACGAAGCGAGCGACACCTCCGAAACGTACGTAAGCCATGTGACGTAACCCACTTCGAGAAGGCTCTAAATGTTCTTCACAGACTATACAAATCATTGATTTATTAATAAATATCACCCATGGCTGTCATGAAATCTTAATGCTATTGACGTATCGGCCTGTCGAATTACTTTGATATAAAAAGTTTGTTACTGCCAGACGGATAGGTTTTTCAATATATTTATTCAAAGATTTGTGATTATATTACCTCTGTGGTAGACTGACCGTCATCGGTGTCATAGTCATGTTACTACGTAGATAAGTCGCGCATATTATGATCCTTCGTTTTTTTTCCTTATATGGGTTACACTATTACCCACATAATGATAGCAATGTCGTCCATTATGTGTAACAGTAGTGATGCCGTCATGAGCAGGGCCGTTGGCTCGAGCGCGTTTCGAGTCAGTTAAGGTCCCTTCACTTCTCCAGTGTTGGAGAATTGTGCAAGGTCTTGGCTCAGGACCAGCTCATTCTTTTTTGACTCACGGGCGAAAGCCCTGACTGGCTATTGTAGGAATCAGGAAGAATCGAGAATCGACCAGTTTTCAACGGCGTTAACAAGTGAGACGAATGCCTCTGAATATCCAACAGGGGAGACGAATGCCTTTGAATGTAACCAAATTCGCAGACAAAAATTAAAGATTTTATGGATGATGAAAGCGATGAAGCGCAGCTGAAATCAGAGTAGTGCTGTGAATCCGAACAGTACGTAATGTGCGGATCGTGTATAGATTCTCTACGTAACATGTAAATTTTTCCATGTTGTGATGGCGAAATCCGTTACATAACAAGATATAATCGACGTTAGGTAGTACACAAATAAAACAATCACAGCCATCATGGGTGAGCATGGATAGCGTGCATTGATTCTAAATGCACAAAAGGAGGTACTTCCACGTCATTGCCACAAAAAAGTGGGCGTAATCGTGTATGCGTGAATAAATCCGCTTCCTCACTCTTAATTTGACTACGTATGGCAATTCACTTCAGAAAGCAGATAATTCATCAATGCTGAAGATCACTTCAGAAAACTCGTAGTCCAGAGCAATAATAGCCCAAAAACAATTAGTTCATTTTTAGGGTAGAGAATGAACACCTCTCTCTGGAGCCCATTTTCGGTTTAAAGTGACCGCGTCGTAATCAAATAACACTTTTATAGATTTTTACTTCAATAGAACTATGAGAA